AGCTTACATCATTTCTCTAAATTGTGTCAACTTGATTAATTTAGAAATACTTATGCTAATAATTTGTTGAGACATTTGAATTTTTATCAATCTTATGTTTGTCATAACTTTGAATACAATTCTATCTATTTCAAGTTCAATTTATTTGAGATTCAATTTATTTTCGAAAATTCAATTTATTCATTTATATGAATTAACATAATTTTGAAAAGAGTTAAAGATTTCTGAATATCACTTTATGTTAATACTTTTAAATACATGGAATACAAAGTAAGCAAATCATCGCCATCTTAAAGCCATGAACAACAAGATTGTTACATGGGATGTTACCGACAACAAGGTCGAATCCGCCAAATCTACTCATCAATTGCTCCAACCGATCATCATTCAGTTCTTGCACATCTGTTTTCAAAGATATACTAAGACCGTAGAAGGTGACCTTTGCAGCACTGATTCCAGCAAAAAGAAACAAGACATTGATATCACTGGGAAACATGTCTCTATACAGATTATTGTGCATGGTTTTTAGAGAAACCTAGAAGCATTTCCACCTCATCAGGTTCAGGAAGGCCATCATTTCTTTGTCAATGGAAAAGCATCAGCGCATGGAGGAAGCAGAATAAAGAGAAAATCTGTTCTTAATTGGCAGAATTATGAATATAACCCTTGTCAGTGTAGTAGCATGAAAATGTTTCGAATCTACAAATTATGGCTTTACATCTAATAAGTACTGTGATATTCCAGTCCAAACATTAAATGGAAGATGAATTTGCTCATAGCATCTTCTGGAAGTGTTCTTTGGGTTATCTGATCTGGTTTAGCAGAACCAATCATTGAATTTGGAAGATGAATTTGCTCATAGCATCTTCTGGAAGTGTTCTTTGGGTTATCTGATCTGGTTTAGCAGAACCAATCATTGAATTTGGAAGATGAATTTGCTCATAGCATCTTCTGGAAGTGTTCTTTGAGTTATCTGATCTGGTTTGGCAGAACCAATCATTGAATTTGGAAGATGAATTTGCTCATAACATCTTCTGGAAGTGTTCTTTGGGTTATCTGATCTGGTTTAGCAGAACCAATCATTGAATTTGGAAGATGAATTTGCTCATAACATCTTCTGGAAGTGTTCTTTGGGCTATCTGATCTGGTTTGGCAGAACCAATCATTGAATTTGGAAGATGAATTTGCTCATAATAGAAATAAGGAGACTCAATAGCATCTTCTAGAAGTGTTCTTTGGGTTATCTGATCTGGTTTGGTAGGAACTACAGAACCAATCATTGGAATTAAAAGATGAACTGCATGATCGTCTTCATTAAGAAGCTTCTTTTCAAGCTTCTTTTGTTTATTCCTTTCCAAAAAAATCATAGCCCAGGTTTCGCCTTTTCTTGTAATTGGGATCATCACATAATGGCTTCCCATCTTTTACCGGAAGAAGTGTGTTAGCATCTTTAGTCATTTGAGCAGCACATATAAAATCTATCAATTTTGTAATTGATGAATCTGGACCACATTTCTCCAGAGCTATTGAAGCTTCAGCCTCTGAGAATCCCATTTTTGTCAAGTATAACAGTTTATTCTCCTCATCAAAATCAGAATTCAAGATTTCTCGATATTAAAAGAACTATCGATATCTGTGAAATCATCTGAAAAGGTCACTTCATAATCAGATGAGTTGTTATCAGAATCAACATGTTACCTGAATACAAGCTTTTCAAGAGCCTATACTATTGAGTTTTATTCTCAAGAGGTTTTGTGACATTATATCTACATCTACATTTGTCAAAGATGATAGATTCTCTGATTTGAAGAAGAAAGATCTATTGGGTTTTTACAATTGAAGAAATACTCAATTCACCAATATGAAATCAAATAACTTAACATTCATGCATCATATTTAGGTGTTTGCAAAAATAGGTGCATTTTCATTCATTTTCATCTATGTTGAATTTTTAACAGGAATTTCAAAGATTTTAGCAAAGATTTAAATCTATCATTTGATAGATTGACATTTCCAGAGAAAGTTCATAATGAGAAGAACTCATCTGAAGAAGGAAGAAGAAGTTCATAATGAGAAGAACTTGTTCAACCTTTTGCCTAAATTCATCACTTGATGGATCAGCTTTTCCAGAGAAAGTTCATAATGAGAAGAACTCATCTGAAGAAGGAAGAAGAAGTTCATAATGAGAAGAACTTGTTCAACCTTTTACCTGAATTCATCAATTGATGGATCAGCCTTTCCAGAAAAAGTTCATAATGAAATGAACTCATCTGAAGAAGGATGAAGAAGTTCATAATGAGAAGAATTTGTTCAACCTTTTGCTCAAATCTATCACTTGATAGATTAGCTTTTCCAGTTCGAGTTCATAATAAGAAGAACTCATCTGAAGAATGATGAAGAAGTTCATAATGAGAAGAATTTGTTCAGATTTTTGCTCAAATCCATTACTTGATGGATCAACTTTTCTAGAGAAAGTTCATAATGAGAAGAACTCATCTGAAGAAAGAACTTGTTCAACTTTTTGCATAATTCTATCACAGAAGGAGATAGATTAGCATCAGCCTTTCTAGAGAAAGTTCATAATGAGAAGAACTCATCAAGAGCTTATTCAACCTTTTGAATGACTCTATCACAGAAAGAAAGAGGTCAACATCATCCCCAGTGGAAAGTTCATAATGAGAAGAACTCATTTGAAAGAAAGAGAAGAATTTATTCAACATCTCCATTATGATCAAGTAAAGCCAAATGGATAAAAAAATTTATTATCTTTTCATCTTTGCCCTATTCCTGTTAACACAAGAATGAGCAAAGAGGGGCAGCTGAAGATACTAATTTTTTACCCATATTGATTTATTATTATAATTATTATAATTACTATAAATATTATTATTATTATTATTACTATTACTATAAATATATTATTATTATTATTATAAATATTATTATTATTATTATTATTATTATTATTAAATATATATATATATATACATAAATAATATTAAAAAATTACAAGCCCAGTTAACCGGCCCAAACCAAACCGAAACCCTAAACATTTAGGGTTTCAGTTAGGTTTCTCTAACCCTAGCCGCCTCTGCCTCCAGCCGCCTCTGCCTCCAACCGCCTCAGCCAACGGTCCAGCTTCCAGCCGCCTCTGCTGCCAGTGCCACCCCCATCGAAGCCTCCAGAAGACCCAGATGGCCACCCACGTAGCTACTCTAGCAGTGAGTCACCACTGGGAGTCGGTGACTCACCGAACTCTTCTTCGAACCGGTCCGAGATGAGCACCGGTGATGGCTATAAAGCCATCACCCAACCTGCAAAAAAAAAAGAGAGACAGAGAACAACAGATCCCAGAGAGACAAAAACCGAGAGCAAAAGATACAAAATAGAGACCAAATCACAACAACCAGCAATCAAAAATAGAAGAAGAGGGAGGAGAGAAGCTTACCGAGGAAGCCACGACCACCGGAACCCTCAAACGTCACCAACAACCTTCGAAAACGAAGGTATTTTCCTAGATTTGCTTCGATTGGGAGCTTTTTAGGAGAAAATAACACCGGAACCGTCCTTAGACGGTCCGATCTACCCATTAGTGTAAAATAAAATTTTCCGGCCACCGGAAGCGGTGGCCGGCGGTGATGGTCACGGCGGCAGACGGTTGCCGTCGGTGACCGGCTTCCCTCCGATGAGGGAAGCTAGAGAGGCCAGAGAGAATTCTGGCTCTCTCTCTGCTTGAGAGAAAAAAAATTGAAATGAAGGCTGGCCCTTCGGGCCAGCCATTTTGGACCTTATATAGGCCTTCCCGAACGACGTCGTTTCGGGAAGGACTATGCATGTAATTAAAGAATAGTTAAATCCTTTCCGCAGTTAGCCTAATTTGTAAACTTTACATTTTAGTCACTAAATCGAGTTATAATCCTTTTAATTCGGTTCTTTAATTTTGATTTTATTTTTTTAGTCCTTTATATTAAAATAATATATATAGGGTAAATAACAGATTTAATCCCTTAATTTTAATAATTAATATTTAATCTGAATAGTATGTTTAATTTATTTTAATCTAATATCTGAATTTTATATAATTTTATTTTAGTCACTAAATTAATAAATAAGAAAATAGCAGTTTAATCCCTATAATTTTGATTATTATGAATTAGATATTTATTTTAATTTTACTATAATTTAGTCACCAATTTTAAATTTTTCATATAGTTCTAATTGTATTTTTATATTTTAATTTTACTTGTTTATATATTTAAATATTTTATTATTATGATTCATAAATATATATAATAAATAATAATTTATTTTTTAATAAATTATTTTAATATTTATTTTTCAATATCGAAGAAAAAGACAGTCTTGATACAACTGGATGTCCTATTCTGGTATTTTAAAATTAAAAATTATAAAAAAATATTATTTAATTTTATTTAAATTAATATTTATCAATATCAAAGAAAAGAGCTGTCTTAAGGCACCTAGAAGTCCTTTTCCGATATTTTAAATATTTTTTATATAATTTTGAAATAATAGGATTATAAATTAAATATATTTTGAATTTTTAAAATTTTTAATAATAGAGACAATTTATAATTAAAAAGTACCAATTTTGGGCGTTGTAGGGGTGCTAATCCTTCCCTAAACGTAACCGACCACGAATCCCTTTTTATTATTAAAAAGAACGAATTTTTGTTTATAAACGCAGATCAGTTCATTTTTTAATTGATGTTTTCTTAAAACTCTTTTAAAAAATAATTTTTAGGTATTCGACCTACCTGACCCAAAAGGCCGATTGCGACTCCCAAATTATTTTCAAAACCATTTATTCACATCAATTTTCCGGCCAAATAAATATTTCGTGCCCGGGCGAAAACCGGTTACGACACATGCTATTAACCTTTTTATTACATAATGGTGAATCACCAACCGAGAAAAAAAAACAAATGTTTCCTACTTTAGCTAATTAATAGACAATGTTTTTTATTTGTGTAATTCAGCTCCTTGAAATTGCACAAGTTCCTGATGCACATGTAAGTTACCCGTTTTCCATATTTCTTTGTCTATTTGTTGTTTTTCTATTCATTCTTTTCCACCCCAATTTGCTTTTGACTTGATTAGTTTAATGGAGAAAATGTAGTTTTGCTAATCATCTGTCAGGTTAATGGCTGATGTGATTCTATTTGTAACAGGTCAATGAATTCAAGTCCATTGAGAAATTTAAAATTTTCAATACAAACAATTTGTAAGTTACCCTCCCTTAACTATCGTAACTGCTTATTGGTTTAGCACTGATGATTTATTTATTTACAGGTGGGTGAACCTGAAAGTAATAAAGAGGCTCGTGGAAGCTGATGCACTCAAGATGGAGATCATCACAAACCCAAAGGTTTGCTTCTTTGTTTTTTCATTACCATGTTGCATCTGATAGAATTCTGATTACCAAATAATAAAATTGGCTGCAGGAGGTCGATAGAGTCAAAGTTCTTTGTTTTTTGTTTAGGCTAATTGTGTGTTATTTATTTTGTGGCTAGGAAATCAATGGCCCCGAAGACTTATCTGGCTAAAGGTTGATGAATGTTAAAGGTTGTAGTATCTACTTTTTGTCTTGCGGAAGTTTTATTCGAGTCTTGAGAATGTTTTATTTGTTATTGTTATTATTTTTTGGTTGGTTTTGCTCTGCATATTGCTGAAAAACACGGTTCCGATATTTATTTGATTTGAAAAATATTGTTCCATGAGTTCAAATACAAGACTCCACAATTATAAAAACTAATTAACATAAATAAATAGCAATTAAAACATGTTGGTACTATTGTTGTTTTAATGTGGTGTACTATTGTTAAACCTAAATAGTGTATTTATAACACTGAAGATACTCATTTTTTTATTATTTATATTATTATTATTATTATTATTATTATTATTTTATTAATAAATATTATTACAGGCCCAAATCAGATTGGACCGGCCCAGTTACAAAGGACCCAACTGGCCCAAACCCATCAGGAAACCCTAAACCCAGATTAGGGTTTGATCTCTAACCCTAGCCGCCTCATCATCACAGCCGTTGGATCTGAGAGATCCAACGGCCCACACTCATCCAGCACAAACACTAGGGTGATGATACCCTAGGGACACGTCCCAGCCGCTGCTGCTGCTTCCAGAAGACTCCACCGCCACACCAACGTTCCAGCTTCCACCACGTCTACCGAAGACTCCAGAAGGCCGGCCGTAACCGCACACGTCTCCCCCAAACGGTGAGTCACCACTGGAAGTCCGGTGACTCACCAGATTCCATTCTTTTACCCGGTCCGATGGCCACACCGGTGATGGTTATAAAGCCATCACTCCATCTGCAAAAAAAAAAAAAAAAAAGAACAACAGAGCCGGAGAGACAGAAACAGAGAGCAAAGATACAAAAATGAAGAACAACAACCCACAACCAGCAGTAAACCAAAACAGAAATGAAAAGAAAAGAAAGAAGCTTACCGAGGAAGCCACCGGACATCTTCAAACGTCACCAAAACCTTCGAAAACCGAAGGTACTTCTTTAGATTTGCTCCGATCAGGAGCTATTTAGGAGAAAAGAGCACCGGAACCGTCCTTAGGACGGTCCGATCTACATATTGATGTAAAAAAAAAATTTCGGCCACCGCATCCGGTGGCCGGCGGTGAGAATCACGACGGCAGACGGCTGCCGTCCGGTGACCGGCTTCCCTCCGATGAGGGAAGCTAGAGAGAAGGGAGAGCGTTTATTTCTCTCTCAGTTAGAGAGAGAAATAAAAAAAAAAAGAAATGAAATATGGCCCGAAGGGCCAGCTGGATTCGGCTTTAAATAGCCCTTCCCGAACGACGTCATTTCGGGGAGGGCTATTCGTGTAATTAAATAATAGTTAAATCCTTTCCGCAGTCAGCCTAATTTGTTAACTTTACATTTTAGTCACTAAATCGAGTTTATAATCCTTTTAATTCAGATCTTTAATTTTAATTTTATTTATTTTAGTCCTTTATATTAAAATAATATATTTAGGGTAAATAACAGATTTAGTCCCTTAATTTTAATAATTAATATTTTAATCCCGAGTTTATATTTTTAATCTGATATTCAAATTTTAGATAAGTTTTATTTTAGTCACTAAATTAATAAATAAAAAATAGCATGTTTAATCCCTATAATTTTTGATTAATTATGAATTAGATATTTAATTTTAATTTTACTATAATTTAGTCACCAATTTTAAATATTTTCATATAGTTCTAATTATATTTTTATTGTTTTAATTACTTGTTTATATATTTAAATATTTTTATTATTATTATGTAGTCATAAATATATATATAATAAATAATAATTTATTTTTTCAATAAATTATTTTAATATTTATTTTTCAATATCGAAGAAAAGGGCAGTCTTAATACAACTGGATGTCCTATTCTGGTATTTTAAAATTAAATATTATAAAAAATATTATTTAATTTTATTCAAATTAATATTTATTAATATCAAAGAAAAGAGCTGTCTTAAGGCACCTAGAAGTCCTTTTCCGATATTTTTAAATAAATAAATATTTTTTATATAATTTTGAAATAATAGGATTATAAATTAAATATATTTTGAATTTTTAAATTTTAATAATAGAGACAATTTATAATTAAAAAGTACCAATTTTGGGCGTTGTAGGGGTGCTAATCCTTCCCTAAACGTAACCGACCACGAATCCCTTTTATTATTAAAAAGAACGAATTTTTGGTTATAAACGCAGATTAGTTCATTTTTTAATTGATGTTTTCTTAAAACTCTTTTTAAAAAATAATTTGTAGGTATTCGACCTACCTAACCCAAAAGGCCGATGGCGACTCCCAAATTATTTTCAAAACCATTTATTCACTTTTCCCGCCAAGTAAAAAATTCGTGCCCGGACGAAAACCGGTTACGACAGCTTGGCGACTCCGCTGGGGACCGGTCAAACTTTTAAAATCAATTATAAATTGTCTCTAAATAATTATAAATTAAAATTCATATATTTAATTTATAATTCTTTTTTTCAAATTTTTTATTATACTTTTTATTATAGTATTTTATATTTCATTTCATTGCAAGTATTTCATTTAATTATTCATTTTTCTGTCATAGGTTTGAACATTTTTCCTCACACACAACACTTGCATTGCATAACATAAAGCTCTATAATTGAGTTTGTCCCTTTTAAGTGGGAGTGAAAGCGACGTCTTCGTGAGAATTTATTCTCCGTGTCAGACCTAGCAAGTAGCTTTCGGGGTTCATATGCTCTATGTCTTCGTGAGAATTTATTCTCCGTGTCAGGCATAGAGAAGTGTATCCCCTCGAATTGAACTCGATCCACTTTAGTCTGTGATGGACTAGGATAGAGGGTTAGTAGCCCAAGGAGGCACTAACAAGGACAATTCGGGTACCTTTATTCCTAGATCTGAAACCTTGCATATAATAAACCCTAGAAACTCTTCCGATCTGAAGCCATGCTGAAATTTTGTCCAAAATAGGTGTACACACAGGAGAAATGAATTTTAACTTTCCTGTTAATTTATTTATTTTCTTACTGAGTAAATTACATGTATATTTAAATTATTTAAATTATGAAAAAGCATGTTTAAATAAAAATATTTAGTATATATTATTATTAAATTTCTTTATTATGTAAACTAATTCATTTCTTTTTGTGTGTTCTTTATTTTTTTTTTCTGTTTGCATAGCATCATACAAGATAAAAGGCATTGATCCTCGTGTTAATTGTCTCATTGGAAAGCCTTCATCTATGGATAAAAAGTGTTCAAATCAAATAATTCTAAACTCAGAAGTAAGACAGTGGGCTGAGGACTTACAAAGACAAGGAGGGGACAGTCTGCAAGATGATTATGTATCGGATTTGGCCAGTTATGCTCCAGTTTCGCTAAAAAGAAATGACATGCAAGATTTGCGAAGCATTTGGGAAAGTTGGGACTCAAACAAAAAATTACAGTTTTATCAGACTTACGGAGACATCCCATATTTGCTCTATGTCGAAGTTGATGATGAATTACTCAGAGCCCTAATTCAATTCTGGAATCCAGGGTACAATTGCTTCACTCTCAATAAGGAGGACTTGGTCCATACTATTGAAGAGTATACAACTTTGCTACATATCGAAGGGGCTTTGGAGAATCGAATCTATTCAAAGTCAATTAAAACTCAACCCTTTCGAGTTAAATTAGCAAAGATTGCCGGGGTACGAGAAGAATGGGTGGCATCCCGTACAAAACAAAAAGGCGAAAGCGAAGGCATTGCTTGGACCAACATTAAAGAACTTATTCAGAGTCATCCAGACACTAAAGTACGATTCGATCTATTTGCTTTGGGTATGTATGGTATGGTCATCTTCCCAAAAGTATTGGGATATGTTGAAGCTGCAGTGGTAGATTTGTTTGAACAGCTACAAAAAAAGATTAATCCTGCTTCTGCAATTCTAGCAGAGACTTTCAGATCGTTAAATGTTTGCAGAAAGCTAGGAGGTGGACGATTCTCAGGGTGTAGCCAGTTGTTATATGTTTGGATCCGTAGCCATTTCTGGAGGACAGAAAAGGTTCATACCGACGCTTTAATACGGATTACTCACCATTAAAAGAATTTCTGGAGCAAGAATGGCCGAAAGAAATTAAGAAAGATATGTGGATTAATGCCTTTCGAAATCTGCAAAGCAATGACATTGTTTGGCGAGCCCCGTGGCAAATCCAAAGGGAATTCTTTTACAAATGTGGTGATTACAATTGGATAATGCTGCTCGGATTATGGGGAGGAATTGGATATGCACCACTTCTGGTCATAAGACAGTATGAAGGTCGTCAATTTGTACCTGTCTTCGCTGGATTACATTCATCTGAGTTCGCATTCCACAGCAAAAATTATAAAAGAAATATCATGGAAGCTGTTACAGCTTGGAGATCTGTCAGGAAAAATGAAAATATACCTCTACCAGATCAAAAAGAGGATATCTCTATGTAAGATTGCATTAAGGTGGTTCCATCAGAGATTGAAATCATGAGAGCTGAGTTTGAAGCAGAAAGAGAAGGCTGGTCGAAAGAATTAGAGCAAATGAGACAAGATAAAGCTATGTTGGGTGTTGACATTGACTTTCATTCATCACAATGTGCAATGTTGAGAGAAGATAAAGAAAAAGTTGATGATGAATTTAGAGCATTAAAGAAAAATTACCAAGAGTTATATAAATCCCGGAAAGCATCAGGACCAAGCCAATCAACAGTACAAATGACCAGAGAATTGAACATCGAGAAAAGTCGAGTTGAAGATCTGAAAGGAAAGAATAGCCGTCTACTCAAAAGCCTTGAGAAAGGAAAGCAAAAAATGGAAGATTTTGAGGTTAACAGAAGAGAGCGAATTATAAAACACAAAGCTGAACACCGCGAAATCATGAATGAAATGCAAAGAGAAAGGGGTCGAGCCAAAGATTTAGAAGAGATGAAAAATGACATCTTTGATAAATTTGAAGGTGAGAAAAATATCATGTTCAAAGGATTTGAATCTGAAATGAACCAGTTGATTGCCGAACTTGAAGT